CGGGGGGGGGGGGGGGGGGGGGGAGGGAGGAGGTTCATGATCCTGAGAGAGAAAGGAGATAGATGCACACAAACCCATTACAATGGTCCGCAATGGTGGAGGAAGTGGTTCGAAGGAAGTGTCTCAGTCCATATAGAGTCTCATCGTGGGGGTCCTCTTCAGGTGGAGCACTTGGGCACTACCCAGAGCCAGGGCATAATGCCAGAGACCGTAATGTAAGAGGCAGAAAGTCCTTGTGCTCTGGAGGGAGGGAGAGATTCAGACTGGACTGGTCTTCCCCTCTAGCTAACTACCCAACCCCCTCTAGGAATATAGTTCTGAAACTCTGTCGGTAGCAGTCTGTTCTGTAAAATGGAGGTTCAGTGTTTAAAATCCACCGATTCATAATTGAAATAAGGTTGTTATAGTTATGTGAACCAGAATTTTTTTTACTCCTTTCCCTTGTACACACCTGTGTACAAGCAGAAAATGTATTTTAAAGCAAGTTGTTTGGGTTGCACAGTCAAACACTCAAGTCAGGCTATGCCACTTGCGTTGTTGCTAAGATGACCGTAGCTATTCCCTGTTGTATGTGCATTGTGATAGGTCCTTTATCATACTACTACTTCCACATGATTCATATGTCAATCCCTGCGTGAGATGGACACATGAGGGAACCAGTCGGATAGCTAGCATTTCCTTATCTATGAGTGTTTAAATTTGCAAGCTAATTAATTGTCTTTTTAACATAGGTTTTTATAATATAGCTTTTGTAGTAAGTCAGAAATTTTCTGTTAATGATTTTTCATGAGAGATGCAATTTCAGAAAAATAATAGAAGTGTTCTGCCAGAAAATTTTAAATTTTACAACATTTTTTTGGTTTCTGTCTAGACAGTTGCAACTAAGCATTTTATTTCAGGTTAGTTCAGTATTCAGTTATCCTCCACCTTAAAGTATTAATGGCAGTTGGAATTCAGATCCACTTTCTGGTAGTTTGGTTAAGGAGCCTTGACCCTGCATTTCCAGTGATGCATTGTAGTTTCTCACCAGCTGCAGGAGTGGTACTGTGCGCTGTCTGGGAGCTGGGTAGGCTGCAGAAGTCACCCAGAGCCCAGCAGCACTTGGCCCCAGCAGCCCCAGCTCCCAGACAGTGTGTGGCACCCTGCCGCGTCACACTGCACCTGCACCATGGAGCAGCTTCCACATGGATGCTAGGCAGTGGTGGGGGAGGGCGATACCTGCTGCCCCCCACTGCCTAGTACTGCACGGGGGGGCTCTGCCATGAGTGCCCAGAGGCTGCAATTTCCACACCTGCAGCCGGTGAGTGTGGGACTTTTTTTAAGTGCCAGGACTAGGCTGGGGCCAGGTGGGGGATGGGGCTGGGCAGGGCACCTATGGGGGCTTCTCCCATGGCTCCCCATACCTAGAGAGAGACAGGCACAGCCAGAGGAGCCGTGGGAGAGCCTGCAGCTGCCCAGCGTTTCCTGCCTTTCCCTGGCTGAGCCAAATCTCCAAAATAGTGTCGAAACACCACAGCAGATTCAGCTGAATCGAAACGGAGCCGTGATCCAAAACACTGAAACGAATCACTGTCCTCCGAAACGGCCAAATTCGAAATCGAAATGAGACATAGACATTTTGCACAGCCCTACTGGGAATCATACAGCAGCTGTAGTGCGTGGAGGCAAGTCAGGAAGAATGAAGGAAAGAGGCAGTTAAGTTCATCTGCTCTCATAAGGTTCTGTGGCATCTTACATAGATGCAGTTCAATGCCAAAGTATTTGGGGTCAGTTCAACACACCCAAGCATTTTGATTCAGGAATGGAGAAACGTTTTCTCTTGGTGGAAAATTTTGAAACAAGAAAATTGATTTTTCTGAATAAAGAGGTGTGGGAACTCTTTTTTCCATTAAAAACAAATTTGATCTTTGATTTTTCTTTTTGATTTGGGACAGGTATTGAAATATTTGAAATTCCCATGGCATAGAAATTCCAGTTTTCATTTAGCTATAGTCTACAGAGCAAGTTACATTTGTATGTTAAAGTTCATTTGAATACAGAATATAAAGAAACTATAGTGTAGTTACTTTTATATATATTATGGGAGTTCATGCAAAAGTAATGGATATATGTGTTGGATAAATCTACCTTTTTAGTTATGAATTTTTAACATTTCTTTGCTGTCTTGAAATAAACAAAATTGTTTATTAATTTTGACAGTAAAGTGTTCACAAACAAACAACAAATCTGATTTCTATGGTAGACTAATCCAGACTCTAACCTTAATACTGGATACAGACTGTTGATTTACTGAAGCTGTACTTAATATAATTTTTTTTTCCTGTGTCTTTACAAGTCAGCGTTCAAATTAGTGAAGCACAGTTACAGTATAAGGCTGTCTCTTGTGCAATTCATTTGGATAATATTGAGTGAACAGAGGCAACAGTGATTAATATCACTTGAATCTAAACACTAAGGCCATGTGTAGATGAAACGAGAGGTGTGTGTGCACGACACTTTAAAATGGGCTAAATGCTTTTGCACTGCTGTAATGGTATCAGTGTTTGCACGCCTCGGTGATGTTTTGTGCATTAATACCAGTCGCTGTAGGAAATTCAGCGGCGTAATACCCCTTAAATGACTTGGGGCGCAGCAAACTAAAGCTCCTTTGAGGAGTTTTAGTTTGCTGCCCCTACAGCCGTGGAGCAAAGCACCAGGCTCTGCGCAGCTTTGCAGCTCTGTGGGAAGCCTGGCAACAGCCTGGGAAAGCAGGCTCCACCCAAGAAAAGCAGTGAGCCCGATCTCCCTCCTCCCCACCCTCCTGTCTCAGCTGCATGGGGGCCTGGTGATTCCCTCTGTGGCTGCAGTGCCCCCCAGGACCACCCGAGCCAGGTGCCTGGGGGGGCGCCGCTGCCACAAAGGGAAGCACCAGGGACCACTCCACCCACTGGCAGCTTGCTCTCCCCTCCACACCAGAGAGGCAGGTAAGTTGGGGGGGTCGGGGGTGCACAACATGGGGGTTTAATCAGCCCTAAATTGAAGTGGTGTTTTTTAAAACCCACTGCTTTAATTTAGGGCCCCTATTTCGTCTACACCAGCCCTAAAGCAATAAAAGTTCTACACTTGTAAAACATTCTGAATTGCCCTTCCTTTTTGTGCAATTGGGATAAGTTCAAGATAAAAGCATGATTTGTTGTTAATTAGAGACAATTTTGAAAAGTCACACTAACAAGTGTTAGTACAGTAAAGTGTCTTTGTAGTAATTGTTTCCTAATATTGTTTGAAAGCCTGAATGAATCTTCTATAAAAAAAAAAAAAAAAAAAAAAAAAAAAAAAAAA